CTTGAGGCCATGACATACACACTCCAGGTACGTACCTGCAGGCACCAGGTTGTCTTACTGATGACCTGTGGGTTTTTTTAAGAGCTCGGAGCTGCTGCTACCTCTCTCAAACCTGTCAGATCTGTAATTTATTACGTCTGTCTCCAGTCATGCAAGCACAGATCAGTCACAGTCTGATTTAGAAATTACCTACTTCATTACTCACAGAACATTAGACTTAGTACCACGCAAGCCATTCCTTCCAAAATCCTCTTAATTTCCCGGAACCCTTTGACTTTTGGTCAGCCATTCCAGCGGCTGAGTGATATTGGGGAGCAGAAAGAGTCCATTACCTGCACAGAGAAATATTGAAATGTGGTGTGAACCAATGTATAGAAGATAAATGGAACATGGAAGATATTTTTCCCTTGTGTCCTGGTTTCAGCTGGGACAGAGTTAATTTTCTTCCTAGTAGCTGGCATAGTGCTGTGTTTTGGATTAAGTAGGAGAAGAATGCTGATAACACACTGATGGTTTAGTGGTTGCTAAATAATGCTTACACTAGTCAAGAACTTTTCAGCTTCCCATGCTCTGCCAAGTGCACAAGAAGCTGGGAGGGGGCACAGCCAAGACAGTTGATCCAAACTGACCAAAGGGCTGTTCCATACCATATGACGTCATGCTTAGTACATAAATTGGGGCAAGTTGGCCGGGGGGCAGCGATTGCTGCTCAGGGACTGGTTGGGAGTTGGTCAGTAGGTGGTGAGCAGCTGCATCACTTGTTTTCCCTGAGTTTCGTTTCTCTCTCTCTTCTTGTTCTCCTTTTCATTACAATTTTTATTACTATTATCATTACTGTTACTTTATTTCATTTATTAAACTGTTCTTATCTCAACCCACAAGTTTTCTTACTTTTGCCCTTCCAATTCTCTTCCCCATCCCACCGGGGCAGGGAAGGGTGAGTGAGCGGCTGTTTGGCTGTTAGCCCCTAGTTGCCAACAGGGGCTAAACTACACCACCTTGTTTTTCTCTGTGATCTTAGCCCCTGTTCTTGACCAAGGTCTTAGTTCTTTTGAGAAAAAACAGCTGTCCAATTTTGGCTGTTACCCAGGAGATGGAAACTGCCTATCCCAGTTATTACTGAAAGCCAAGTGGGGAGGTTTAGAGCCTGAGGGTGATTTGGAGGAGGCAGGTGAAAACCTTTTTCTGAAGTTTGAGAACACAGTGTTGGAGGAAAGGTGATAACTCATGGGCTCTATAAGCTCTTTTTCAAAGAAAGCATCCTTTGGTGTCTCTGAAACCAAGAGCACTGAGTTGAAGGAGACCAGACCACTGACATATTTAGGTCCTTCCTTCTTTAAGGAGTTGAATTTGACCCTGAAAAAAAGGGGCATTGGAAGGACACAGTAACAGGTTCCCAACTTGTAAAATTGTGTTAAAGATGACAGGGATCAATTTGCTATGTTTCTTTATGTAGGGCAGGGAAAAAAAAGGTTCTTTTGCAGAGTGGAAGACCTAGGTTGAAACCTTGGGTGGGTGGGGGGGACCACCCAAATGTTGAAGTAGTAAAAAGAAAAATAAAAGTGGAGTAGCTTCCCTGTGGATGTTGTGGACTCCATTTCAATGGAGCTTTGTCAGAACAGATTAGATGAGCATCTGGCAGGGACAGCATAGGGATGCATCATTTTGCAATGTAAGCAGCTAGGCTAGACTGCCTCTTGAGGTTCCTTCTGACACACATTTTTATGAGTTTTGTGGTGCACAATCACAAAGTGAAAATATTAAGAAGCTGAGAAACTACTTAATGTATTTTAAAAGAACTTTTTTGTCTAAATGTTACGAAATGGGGCCTCTGCTTGTTTTTAAATTTATCAAGTGTGTGACAATGCTGTACTGGCTAAACTGCTTTTAAGTTCTGACTTAACTCTGTTCTGGATCTCACAGGTGAGATTAAGTTTATCTGAATGCTATGGTTTGCTAAATTTATGCTAACCTACTAAAAGCAGCAGTACAAACTGCAAAATCACAATAATTTTACCAGAATATTTTAAGTTATTTTTTATTTTTCCAGTTAAAGTTTCATGGTCAGTCTTCACTATTTGTTTTTTCTTTGGCCCTTTTTCTCTATTTATAAAGGGAGATTAGACACTGGACTAAATTTGGATGTTCCTTGATGTGAGTTAGAGCCCTTTTTTAAAATCCATTTTTGAGTGTTGCATATAAAAGGGTTAACTAAAAGATTAAGTAGATTTTTCTGTTTTCTACTGTATCTATTTTCATGCCATAACCTTGTGATCCTTCACCTTAACAGAAAATGTTATTTTCTGAAATATTAAAAGATTCAGCTATACATAGGAAGGATATTATATCACCATAACTTACATGAGAGCCACTACTGTCAGCGCTGGTAATACAGGATTTGTATGGCATGAAACTTTCAAGTCAGGTGCTAATTTATGACTATTCAGTCACTTGTCTAGTATTCCGTACCAGAAAGCAGTCAACCATTTCATTACACAAAGATTTTTCAGGTGGATCCTGTTTTCTACCTTAAAAGAAGTTTAGTTTGATCTTTCAGAAGGTGCTGCAATGTGCCTGTGCAACTGCATTATATTCCCTTTGCTTTAATGTCAGAGAATACAGATTCAGTCATCTGCATTACTCCTTTATATGTTAGCAGAAGAGAGAAGACCTCTTTTAATGCCTCTACTCAAGTTAATTTTTTAAAAGATGATGAATGTGCTTACACTTTTTTCTGAATGACTGTTGCCCTTTAACCAAAGTCATTCATATCAAAAGTTAAGACTGCAGCTTGTTCCTGGGAAAGTTGATAGGAAAAGGTCAGTACCCATTTTGCCTTTTAATAGACAAGATAATCAGATGAAGTCTGAAAATGTGATGTGTGTGGCTTGCACATCTTGCCTTCAGGTGCAATAGAAAGCAAAGAGGAGAGGAAAGCTTTTTCTAGAACTTACCTGTTCACTGGTGTCACTTTATGTCATTTCTTCTTTTTAGGAGGAGTAGAAAATAGGGGGGGGAGAGAGAGTTCAGCGGGTTGCATTGTAATGGCCCTGCTGTAACACATTGACCAGACAGAGGAGGGAGCAGGAGTTGTGGCTCACCTTACCACACTGGAAGCTGACAGTGAGGTTTCAGAGGTGACCTGTGAGTTAGAACTGCCTTCTGAGCAACTTGGCCAGACTGTTTTCCAAGCTGATTGGTCTCTTTTCCAGCTGTTTAGTGTGCCACCTTTTTTTTTAACAGTGCACATAAGCACACATGAACATAATTATTCTTCCTGGGACGATTCTGGATGGCGAAAACTGTTCCAATCTGTGGTTTCTTGGGGTATTTTGGGTTTTGTAATGCTCTGAGGTTTGCTTATGTATAGATGATAAAGTGCTAAACTGAACCCAGTTATGGTGAATCTCTATGGAAATACTGCAGGGATTTATTTTTTGTCTTGCATTTATTTTTTGCTGCTGCTATACTGAACAATTACTTCTGAAACATAAAGACCTTTTGGATGGGTTTTAGGAACTGCTATTTGGTAGTAGGGAGAGGTCTTCATTTATTTATCAGACCTCTGCCTAGCATGGTTGGTTCAAAATACAGATTGTTTTGTTGTCAGACACTGATAGATTAGGAAAGCATTGAGGCGCATACATTAATGTTTCTTGTATGTTTTTTCACTCACTCACCCCTTTTCCGTTGTCAGATAGTCTTACCATGTCTAGCATTTCATACTGGTAGTGAGTGGTCTGGAAGTACTAAAAAAATCTGAAGTAGGATGATTTGCTTTTGAGAGGCAGATGGATGGGCTGCCACAAAAATACGGGGGAGGATGACATCCCAGGGCCAAAGCTGCTCCTAAATGTTATCAGTAGAGAAATTATTTGTCTGCTGTCTGTGCCTTGGGGAATGGATGCAATCACTGAGCTCAGTGTATCGGTGCACTGATGAAATGTAAATGGTGGTTCCTTCCTATTCCTTAAAGTGATTTTGCCAAATAGTACTAAGTATCTGGGCTGTAAAAAGATGCACAACTGGGGTTTAAATTTTGTTTAACTACTGGAATTTGTCCTGCTCAAATTATCATCAGCGGCAGGAGTCCATAGAATCTCATGTCCTCCTATTTAAAATACACATACATGAATTTATGCGGAAAGGATTTGGGGATTCTAGTAGATTCTGTATTTATGCAGAAAGGACTTCAGTTCTGAAGAATTCTTGGAGTTCACTGTGGAAAGTCTAATGATGGAAGAGTTGTTTGGAGTGTTATGACAGCAAGGGAAGACACTTGAGACAAAACCCAGACTGTCTACAAAATGAAACAAAACAAAAAGCGTCTGTAGCTTCCTGTTTCTGTAGACAAATACTGTCAAATTCAGTGAAGTTTCTGAAATAGAGCTGAAATGAAAAATAGATCGTTCTTGAAGCTCTGGGTAGCTGCACAAGAGGATAAAAAAGACTAGCAGATCTACATGGAGACTTGGAAAAAAAACACAGCACAGTATTGCACACTTTAGAATCTTCGGAAAGGAGAAGCTATATACTAAGAAAACCGTGCTTTCATTTAAGTAGTTATTCTAAGCTGTTAGTTAGTTACTAATGGTTTAAATGGTCTAATAAAAAGGTGTGGTGAGAGAAATGTAATTTTGCCAGTAGTTAATATGTTGGCAATATACCCAGTAAATGTATTGTTTTCCTATGCACCATTTTGACATACCTTGGACAAAGTATCAACCTTTAAGTATGTGTACACAAGTTTTTGGAAAATGATTTTCCAATATACCAAGAAAAATTAATGTTTTCAATAGATTCTAGCTTGATGATGCTAATGAGACTTTATATAGAACTGCATTTGAATGCATATAATTCTACTGAACTAGTTTAACTAGTTTGGTTTTTTTTTAATGGAAAGTTGAGTGTATTAAAGCATTAAATGGAAAATTCTAAGTAATAATGCCATTACTGCTTTTTCAGATACTTTAGTAGGAACTTGCAAGTGACTTGACACCATGGTAGCTCTTTCGTTGAAGATCTGTGTCCGCCAGTGCAATGTAGTGAAGACGATGCAGTTTGAACCATCCACTGCAGTGTATGATGCCTGTAGAGTTATTCGTGAACGAGTGCCAGAGGCACAAACAGGGCAAGGTGAGTTCCTGTATTTGTCCTTAGTCAATTCATTGGCTGAATTGAAAATAAACATAGACCCATTGGTTTTTTTACACTGTTCTCTTCTTCCATTTGTCTTTCAGATTGGAGGGTTTGTTTTTTTATTTAAATCATAAGGCTCTGAAGTGAAAGACGCAAAGTACAGACAGATTTTTAAGTGACAGAAGGTAGCTGCATTCTTTTTCTTCCTTCTGTCCTGACAGAGGTTTTTCTACGAAGGATACTTTTTTGTGGAACTTTGACTTCTTAAATAAATTGCTTGTTTGCCTGAAAGATGATTTTTTTCCCAGCTTGGAGAGCAATTTTTGTGGTACCATCTTTTTAAAGCAATGTTTGTGGCAATGCTTTCTGGGAGAATTTGGGCAGACTTACTTTGTGGCTCAGCAAAGGAAGGGACAACGTGAATTGCAAAAGAATGGCTGGACATCTCCAAAATGTGCAAAGGGAAATGTTTGAAACTGATTAATAAGTGAAAGCATCACCATGCTGTGCGTACCATATTCAGAACACTGCTACGTGTTAGTCAGATTTAACTGTCTCTGTACCTATTGAGCAAATTAGATGAATGTAGACTGCGAAATAGGCCTTCACTTGGGCAAAAGCTCTGCTTTAAGTGTAGTCAAAGTTGCCAAAAAAATTCAGGTTCTTCAGAATCCTTTGGTGCTCTACTGTATATAATGTCACTGGAACGTAATTCTTAAAGCAGATTGTTTATTGAGTTTTATGCACAGCTCTCAACCTTTAGAGCCATTTCGAAAATGTTGTCTGAACTGTTAGAAAAACTCAGCAGTAATGGACAGTATTACTATTACTTGGAAATGCTTCTTTGCAGGAGTCCTTAGGAAGTCTAGTTATACAGCTCCAATTTTTCAGATGCAGGCTGTATATTTTTACCATACTGCTCTCAAGGCAGTTATTTTGAACAGTTGATGAGTTCAGAGGAGTTGAGTAACAAATATCCCTGAATACCGTGAACCTCATAGAAAAGCCTAGGAACTCTCTTCAGATTATGCAGTAGGGCTTTTGCTTTATATGTGATTACATTGCAATTACGAACTTCAAACAGCTTTATGAAGTTGAGCGTTGAACAGAAATAAAGTTACTAACATATCCTTTCCCCTTCTTTGTGGCTGTTAAAATGTGTGTTTGCCTCTTAGTTCAGAAAACTGGCAGTGTGCAGTATAGACTGATCAAACTAGTTCCTGTGCAACAGAAAATGTAATTGTCCTGCATTATGACTGTCAACGATGCACATTTCACTTCTCCAACAAGCTTGCATGCTGGAGCAAAGGTGGCCATGATGTTAACGTGCAAGTTGCACAGCTACTACTATTTCATTACTAGGGTGCATCCCTCAGAAATAAGTATCAGAGCAGTCTGTGCTTCCTTGGTAATTCTGTGCTCTGTGCAAGGCGCTTTGTGTGCTTCTAAAGGTCAGAACCTATTTATAGGCACAAATTCTAAATTTTTACATAACTGCTTCTGTACTGAATTTGTGTCATAAACATCTCTGTACGTACAGATCACTTGGCTTTTCAGTGGAATTTTTAATTAAGGTCAGCAGGAAAAGTTTTTCTTCTTATTCAGTTGTTTTTGGAAGGATTCTTCCTTCAAAATTGTGTATCTGTAAGTCAGTTACACTTCTTTTAATTAAGTATAAGCTCTTTTATATACTTGTATGAGTAACAATGTGTTTAATGTAAATGTTCTTAAATGTAAATTGTTGCTATGCATGATATTTAAAGATGCAGTATTGGCCAAAAAATGTAGCTATTTTTACCTGACTTTCTGATCCGAGGGTCCGAACACATGGCTGAAAGTAAACAAGGTACCATCCCTGCTCCGAGGCTGTGTGCACGCAGCTGGCCAGCTTGTGTGAAAAAAGCCATTAGCTTAAACTGTAAAACTGCAGTTAGAGCAGGCTCAGCTCATGAGCAGTACTTTACAGTGTTTGTGATAGTGAAGTGTACTCTGTATCAATTCTTCATGCAAATGTTTATCAAGAAGAGATGCTTTGGATGGGCCTTAAGTTGACAGTTGTGGTCCTTCATTTTGTATATGTGGAGTTTAGTCTTTGAAGCCTAAGCCTGGGTTTGTTCTTCTGTGACAGTGAGAGTTTTATCATTTACTTGTGATTCTGAAAGAATCAATTGGCATGTGTTTAGCCTGCAATAGATGCAAGTTTTTCCTGAGATTGTTATTATGGATATAATTCTAGAAGCCTTGTATTTTTTTAAATGCCTAAACCTGAAGCATCTACCAAAAAGATTCCACAGTTTAGCATAAACTCAATATGTGAAGGGTTGAAAACAAACTTTTTTTTTAAAAAAACAGAACTACTGCTTGAAGTAGTATACTACGGTTAAGCCGAAACTGCTTGTATTTTTGGTTAGTCAATTCCAAAGCAGGACCTGTGAGCATTTAAAAAGGTCATCTTGAAGAGGATCAATTCCAAATATAATACAAATTACATGGTAGATGCAACATGTTCTTGCTTAGTGAAGCTTTTGTTCAGGTCTTCTATAAAGCCTGATCTACCCTGCTATCTGCTGCTAAGCTAAATATTTACTGAAGCACAGAAAAAAATTACTATCCAACTTCATTAAGAATGGAAGGTAAGTGTAATGGAAGCTTAACTCTGAAGCTGAATAACCTTGAGTAAAACCACGTTGGCTTTATTAGTTTTGAGTTTTTCAGTGAGTCTCTGTCTCTTCTGTTCCACAGCCTCTGACTATGGATTGTTCTTGTCAGACGAAGATCCTCGAAAAGGTATATGGCTAGAGGCTGGAAGAACACTGGATTATTACATGCTGAGAAATGGGGTATGGTGCAAGTCTGTTGCCTCTTTCATCATCACGTTTTTAGAAAACTTGTTTCCCAAGTAGTAAGAAGAATGTTTAGCATTTGGAGGGGTAGGAGGGTCTTGGTTCTGTTCCTGAAATTGGCCCACTTCTCTTCCTTGCTGTGCCTCAGTAGTTAGTTTTTTTTCTTGCATCTGGTTGTGATTGTGAGCTACTGTGGCCGATGGTGTCTTCTTAGAATGATTAACAAAAAAATAAAAAATAATTTTTGTAATAAGCTTTATATTTGAAGTGACCTTGCATTATAGTGTAGGTTTCTTGTACACTAAAGACGATGAGGTCATACTTGCTCACATTATGGCCAGCTTGCTTACAACCAAAAGGCATTGCTGTCCTTTTCAATGCTAAACTAGTTTTTGCAGCACAAAGGTACTTTGGTCTATCCTGCGTTATCTACATTTTGGTCTTGCCAGCTAGGACAAGTTCTTGAAAAATGACATTGGCAGAACTAGAAGTAGTCACCTCTCAAGTTTGTTACATGAATAAGTTTGCCTGTACTATAACAAAGGAAAAATCCAGCTTGGGGGGTGGGGAGGGAATCCTGTTTTAGGCATCTAAGTTAGTGGGTTGGCTTGTGATGGCTTCCAAAAGCATTTAGAAACAGTATTGTTTACTTCCTAGGATATACTGGAGTACAAAAAGAAACAGAGACCTCAGAAAATACGTATGTTGGATGGTTCAGTGAAAACAGTCATGGTGGATGATTCTAAAACAGTTGGTGAATTGCTGGTTACCATTTGCAGTAGGATAGGTAAGATTTTGGGACCCAGACACTTAATGGTTTTCTGCCATATTTGCATCTTGATTTTTAGGACGTTATGTGTATTACTGGCTAGAAATTGGCACATATGTTAAAAAATATTTAAATATGTTATCAGTTAACATTTACGAAACACTTTTTAAAGTCTGTTGTCCAGGTTTTATGAAAGTCGGTGGAGAGGTAGCTGTAATCCTTAAACATCAGCATTTAGCAGTTGAAGGCACAAAGTTATGTGACAGTACAGTTGTAATTTTTTTTAGCGTATGTTACCTTTTACATACACTTTACTGCTATGTGGTAGTGAATTAGAATGAAATTTATACTTAATTTTAATGGGATAAAAGATAAATACTGTTAACCTTGAAATTTACCTAAACTTAGGGCTCTATGTTGTTACGAGTAAGAGCTGATCACAGTACCATATCATTTGTGAAACGACGTGTGGAAGCCATCCAGAGCAGCTGGTCAAAAATGTGTCATATTGGTTATAGTCTGGTTTTGTATTTATCTAAATAGAGACATTTTTGAAAACTAATTCATATTTAACTATAAACATGCTTCCAACATGGGTTAGTTTAAATCATCTTAAACCCTTGCTTAATTCTCATTTAGAATTAAAGCGGCATTAATTTGATTTAGATTAATTTACTTGGAAAGTGAATTAAGCTAAATTTAAATTAATCCATTTCAATTTTGTTTGAGTGTTTCTGTGGTGGCTTCTAATGTGCTGTAACTAATTTACTTGAAAAATTAGTTTGACTTATTTTCATGAATGTGGTCATGTAGGTGAGCATTTAATTTGCTTTCCTGTATAACATAAACATGCTTTACCAAGCAGTGTAAAAAAACAAGCAGTACAAAGAAATGAGAGCGACTTAGGACATGTGAACTGATTTTTTATTCAGTTTCATGTAAATTCATAGGAAGAGTTGAGTTTTAAAACTCAAAAAAAAAAAAAAAACCCAACATATATTTCACATGGTTTCTGTTCCTCAGTCTGCTCTGTCACATTCCTTCTACACATCGTGGGCAAGCTGAAATTATTCAGTTCTCAGGAAGCAATTGTAGGCATCCATGAAAGGAAATTTACTATGGTGTGTCTCCATTCTGGAACTGCTATTTTAAATTCCATCATGTTTTTAAACTGGCAACTTCTCTTGGTAGATAACAAAAAAAAAACCCCTTAATATCTTTCTGAAAGCTGCGAATGCAGCATATGACGAAGGACTGATGTATCTGAAGGATAATGCTGGACATTGGAGAGATGTCTTGAATGCGGAAGCTGTAGATTATTCTTAGGATCTCCTTCACCATTCACTGTTTTAGCATTTCATCTAGAATATCTTTACTATACTTGAAATTAACCATTGGTGTTTTAATGTATGGAAAAGAATATTTCACCCATCCTAAAATGTATTAAATTTTTATAGTTACAAACACTGGATTTATTTATAATTCCAGGAATAACAAATTATGAGGAATATTCCTTAATCCAGGAGAGCATCGAAGAGAAGAAAGAGGAGAGTACAGGAACGCTTAAGAAAGATAGGACATTGTTGCGTGATGAAAGAAAAATGGAAAAACTGAAGGCAAAGCTTCATACAGATGATGATTGTGAGTAGAGTATTCCAGGATAGTTCTTCAATTAATATCTTTCCGCAGTATAGTGCTAGAAAACCATACAGGAATGCATTTTTAGATTCTTCAGTGTGTCACAGTTGATCCCTACCTGTATTTTGCATCTGTTTATATATAATGTCATCTACTACTGAGTATTTTCAAAATTAGGTAAATGGAGAAGTTGCTGTGTCTAGCTATGAGAGTTAGCGGATCTTCTGAAGTGGTTTTGGTTACTTTTTTGGTTACTTTTTTGGTAGGGGAGTTGTAACTTAAGTGTGAAGGGTCATTTCCATAATGACCATTTTCTCCCCTTCATTGAAGTTGGATATTTAAATACTGATGCCTACTGAAAGCCATCAAAAGGTAGTTTTGTCTTTGAAGGTATAAATTTTAAGCATAAATGGAGTTTGCCAAAGAACTAAGACAGTATTTGATTTGTGTTATGTGTAAAGTAATGAGAACCATTTTTTCTGTTTTACGTTAAGGCACTAAGATTAACTGTGACTGGCAGGAAGCTGTTATAAAATTGTATTCAGGGATAAGAAAAGTAAACATAACAATTGGTTTTAGGGGGAAAATGTGGTAAACTTCTAAGTAATTTTGCAATGAAGCTTTGAAGATCAAAATTTAGTATTAAAATGTTACTGTAGTTGTTTCTTCAACAATATTAATAGTGTTTTATGCTGTAGTAAATCCTTGTTTCTCAGCAGTGCTGTTCTTCAATTCTCATTTGTAGCAACCTTCAACACTGATGACTAGAAACAGAAATGAAAGCAACATTTTTTGTGGAGTTTCCCCTTCCAGTGGAAATGCCAATTATCACATGGTTTTCACAACAGCTATTAATACTGGCAACACTGCGTATTTAGCAATGTGCATGTCTGTGGTTCTGTTACAGTAAATTGGCTAGATCACAGCCGAACATTTAGAGAACAAGGAGTCGATGAAAATGAAACACTACTGTTGAGACGAAAGTTCTTTTATTCAGACCAGAACGTAGATTCAAGAGATCCTGTTCAACTTAATTTACTTTATGTTCAGGTACAGTATGTGGACCAGAAGTACAGGTTCTGCCTTGTCTGAGGAAATGTGTGTAGGTCAATTAGAAAAATTTTGTTGCTGAAATACTCCATCTTCTAGAATTCCAGTTCTGGATATGCTTTGATTTTACTTTTTTGTCTGTCCCTCCAAGAACACGTGATACTACACAGGCTTTGCTGATTCTTTTTAATCAAATACTTTCAACCCAGTAATGAATACCCAACCAAAAATCCACTGACTTTCATGTCCTTGTCCTGGTTTCCTTAAAATTCATTAATGTCTTCAGTCCTTTAAGTTGTTCTTTTTAGTTCTTCTCCCCATTCTCTTCTACAGGTGATGCTTTCTCTGTAATATAGTCTCAGGTCAGTCTTGCAACCAGCTTTCCGCTTCTCATATCTTTTCTCTTCCACCTGATCAGTGAGAGAGCTGCTTCTGCACTCCCTTTCCAGTCTTCAACTCAGACAGCACACAAGACAGGCAGGCTTCCTGTTCAGAATGGACCATATCACGTAACATGGTGGGAGTCCACCTAGGCAGGTTCCCCAAACTGTTAGAGGTACTACACATACCTTAGTAAAGCTAAGAGTTTTATGCAGAAGATACTATTTAACTGAAGGCTCCAGTGCAGTTGCCCGTAATGCAGTATGAAAAAAGTAGGCTTTTAAACTCTCTGTGAAAGTTTTTTTTAAAAAGAAAAAAAAAATTTCAAAGTTTAATGGAATGTTCAGTTGTTATACTTTCAGCTAATTCAAATGGGATTGCTCTAAATTACATTTTAAACCCTGAGGCAAAAGATAAAGATGGCAATGCTTGTAAGACTGCATTACCTTTTTCAAGTATTTTAGAAGACTCTATCACACTGAGCTGTTCTCCTGCCACTTAGATATTTCTTTCAGGCTACTGTTAACGGTAGTATGTGTTGATACTGCCTTGTCATTGTTTTTTCTATGGATAGCTGAGCCTTCTACTGCCAGAGCTATAACATCCATCATCTTCTATGACCACTAAATTTAAATAAAAGGAAGAAAAATGCTGTTTGCCTTCTCCTGTTGCCATTTCTATAATAGTAATCTGTTTTTTACTTACTAGTTATGCAGATCATTTTCCCTGGTATTACAAGGTGGTAAGATAAAAGCGTTTACATGTATGTATGTACACACACGCATATATCTGTGTATATATGTGTACATACATGTAAGTGTATGTACATATGTTGTATTTTATATACACATACACAGGAAATGGGTGCCAAGTCCTCTTTCTGATGAAAGTTGTTACAATCGTGGTTTCAGTAAGTCTCTGTAGATACTCACCAGAAAACAATCTAGCCCTTTGTTTATTTTATTACTCATAAACACATCCAGAATGGAATAATAAAGACATTCAGACAGAAAAGTGTGTTGCTGGATTCTTGGGCCATGTTCAAGCTTTCAAGGAATTTCAGAGATGTAATGTTTTTCTGGATGTCCCTGACATGTCTTTGCTTTACCTCCTTTAGGCTCGTGATGACATTCTGAATGGTTCCCATCCTGTCTCCTTTGAGAAGGCCTGCGAGTTTGGAGGCTTTCAAGCACAGATCCAGTTTGGACCTCATGTAGAACACAAACACAAACCTGGATTTTTAGAGTAAACACTTCTAACTTATAAATTCGGGTGACCTCAAGTGTAACTAATGTCGAGTTGTCACAGACTAAATGCATTTCAGTACTCCAAGCAGAGGTAGTCAGATTCAGTGTGTTTTCTGTAGGAATCTCCCTGTGAAAGGAGCCTTATTGCACAAATCAGCAGCCCCAGCTGATGAGGGGACCTTTGGCAGTGGCTTATTAGGTAGCACAGGGCACCAGCTGACCCCAGGGTGCCAGTTAAGTGCACTGTTGGATTCCCCAGCCACCCGGTAATGTGGGAGAACTGGGATTTTGTTCTTCCATAGAAGTCTTATTTCTGCCTGCATTTAGTAATGCCATGTGTGCATTAAGCATACATCAGTGTGTGTCACAGATGTTTGATTTGCTAGGAAAGTACCTGAATGGAAAGATGCTTTGTCATTTGAATAAAGTTAATATTGCTGTGTGTAGAGGTTAAATTTGCCAAACTTTTTAGTGACATTAATCAGTTGTTCAGATTCACCCTCTCATGGCACTGTACAAATGGAGATCTAGAATTGTGCTCTTGGTTTCAGACGTGGGCAGGAGCCCTGCCTACAAGTGACCCATCCTTTAACCTTTACTGTGATACTTACTTTACTGCTATCAGCAGGACAGGTTTAGTTTTACTAAAATTTGGATGTCCCATTTTGCTACCAATTTTGATTTTCTGATCGGTTTGACTGCAGTAGAATTAACCGAGGGCTGGAGTCTGAGGAAGGGAATGTAGGAAAGTAAAAGAAAGCTATTTACTGTACAGTCCATCAAGCCTTGCCTGCATATGAGGCTCATATATACCTTAATAGGATGCAGGAAACAATGGGTGCGTATTTGGTTTCTGTCCTGTTCCACTGGCTGAGTGCTCAGTGCTGACTCTTACACTTTCTTTGTGAGCCCAAGTCTGCTGTTTACTGTATCTCAGAGAATCACCTTAAAATGGTGGCTTGTTTTGGAACATGCAGTGCTGCAACATTGGTTGTTTGAAACACTTCACTTTTGAAAGAGTTTCCTGAAGTAGCAGTTCAGTTATGCACAACAAACCACATGAACAAACATCCTTCAGTTCTAATTAATAATCAGCTTTTCTTTGTACCGCCTGTTTGTCTGCTACTCATTGGCCCATGAACCTTTCCTAATAGAGCTACTGGTGTTTCTAAGAATTATGGGGATACAGTGTAATAGCTTCAGTGTACTCATGGTTCTTATTCCCTTGAACTGTGACCAGTTACGCAACAGTCTTCCTCTGGGATTTGTCTGTTGTCTACTTATTCCTCCCTTCTCCCTCCACTCACTTGAGTATTCCTGCAGCAAACCATTAGGGTATTACCACATGACAGGCTAGTGTTGTGTCATGGTAATGATTTCAAGAGTTAGGTGTTCCCAGCACCTAGTTGGTTTTAATTTTTAAAGCAAACTGCCGTGCAGAGTTCAGTAGCTTAAATTTTTCTAGATTTTTCTAGGTGTTTTACTTCGTCTTTTCTGTGTAAAGATTTTTTTTTTTTTCTTTTTTAAGCTCCCATATGGTAGTTGTGGTTTATGGCGGACTGAAACTGCTGGCTGGATGATATTTCTACTTTGTATGCAATGCTAGATTGAATTCCATCACAGAATAAGTCATCACACATATAAAGTGCATTATCTTTTTTTTTATCCTAATAGAAATGAAAGATATAAATAACTGAACCATATGTTAGAGAGAGATCGTTACTCCAGTGGAAATCATTTAGAACCAGAATTCCAAAATTTAGAACCTTGTTATTTTCTGCGGGGAATTTTCTTTACTTTTTTTTTATTTTCATTGAAATGGGCTTTGGCTGTATTAGGATCAAGCCTTGCAAGTCACTAAGGGCAATCGCTCACTGTCCTGGTGTATAACCAGTTTCATAAAATTAAGGATTTCTGATTTAGAAGTAATTATCTTTTTGCCATCTGTAGAGGAGCCTATTCCAGAACCATAAGTCCCTAGTTGTTGCCTTCTAATTTCAAGCATTCATGTTTATGATTGTGTTGTATGCTTTTGGCTGTACATAGCCTTCATAACAGCCTTTTTGTGAAACCTCATGCATTTGAGTCTAAAGAAGACAAGCTCTCCTGACTCCTTATGAACAATATATATAAATAGTGTAGATAAATGCTGTTGGGTTGTTTTTTTTTTTTTTCTGAAAATGCATCTTGTCCTTTCAGAAAAATTTTTTTGGTTGTTTTTTTTTTTCTTGAAAAAGATCAAGCTTCTTTAAAGTTTCATCCAACTATTTCCCACTTTTTGGTGGATGAACATTGATTCTTTTCAAGTGTGAAAGTAGTTATGTTTTATGTAAACTGTATGCTGTAGCTCAATATGTGAAATACATTTGAGAGGTGTCCATTCACTCACCACTGAAACCTGAGCATGCTACAGAACCCCTTAAGGAGAATCTGTCAGCTCATACAGAAAACAGCATGTGATGGAATAGTATTAGTATTTCAAAGCATTGTTTTGAAACAGCTTAGTTTAGTTTGCCATGTCTGCAATATGTTTATATAGAGAGATCCTTTGTATCCTTTTTTGTCATTGATAAGTGATTCTTGGCACAGATGAAGATTATTGCCTGCATCTTGTTAACACTTTGGTATTGGTTGGAATTTCCTTGAAGCTCATGCCAAAGTAAACTGTGAAAGCTCTTAAACTATCAAGTTGCAATAGTTCTTCTTCATGCCCTTCCTTATACAGCTGAAGTTTTGCATTGCACCTGCAGAGGTATACTGTGTTTAAATTTGCTGAGAGAATATCTAATAAAGAACTCATACTATTCATATGCAGATAGGAAAGGAGCAGCTAAAACTGCCCACATCTGCTTTTTATTTCCAAGCACACTTGGTGACAATAAGCTCAATTCTTTAGCCTGTTTTACTGTCTTAAACTGTCTTTTTCAAGAACACTGGATATACATTTATGCTAATGAAAAACAATCAATATGTTGGCACTCGTGTATAAGTTTTTTAAGAACTGTAGGAACAAACTCACAGTAAATTAAGTTAAATAAACACTGCTTGCTATTAGATGTTTTTTAACCGAGTCCATTGTCCATTGTAGTAATGTGTAATTAAAGAGATTTAAAGAAGGCTAAATGATAATATATTCCAGGTGGTTTTGCTAACTCCATTAAACAAGCTACTAAATAAAGTGAAACTATTGTTTGTTGCATCATAAAGAAAATATCTTGATTATAGACAGTATTAAAATATTTTTAGTCTGTTTACAACTAGCATTTCACCGTTTCAGTTGAGGCTATTATTTGTCTGTTGATTGAAAAAGAATGGAAGGTGATACAAGAAAAAAGCATCCAATCTAACTGACAGCTACATGTGCAAGAGTATACAAATGGTGCTTAGTGGACAAAGCGCAAAGTTGTTTTGTTAACTCTTGCTGCTTAAAAAGCTCCAAATAATGTTTGCTTAGCAATGTCTTCTTAAAGTATATATTACTTAACAAAGTAAGTAGACATGCTTAAAAATGTAATGGTCTTGATAGTTTATCTACATACGGATAGCTGAGAAAATTAACTCTAGTTAATAAAAGGTGAGAATTAGAAGTGCATTGATAACTATCATTTTTCTATATAAATCCACTTCAGAATTAAACTGGGTTTAACTCAGGTTTGGTTTGGGGTTTTTTTCCATTTGCCTTGGAAGTGAATTTAACCGAACTGCTTTAAACCGACAAAATTCTGTGTAAAAGCACCAGTTGTTTCAGAATAAAGGCACCAGCTTTTTAGGATAATAAGCTGTATTCAGTCCTTATCTACCAAATTAATTTGTCCCTCCAGCCTTCCCCACCCCATGATGTGTCTGTGCAAGTCAGTCCTGAGAAGAGATTTCATTATCATGTGTTAGTGAGATGTAACTACTGGAGCATTGGAAGAAAGATTAGCAAGGACAGTTGTTCTTACTTGGATTTATATGGCTAGAGCTGTGTGAAAAGAACTAAATGAATGATCTCACTACTGAAGAGTATTTTTGAAGAAAGCACAAAATCCTGATTTAGTCTTTTGAGTTATTTTGTTTGTTGTCTGCAATGGCAGGCTTTTGTGTTTAAAAACAAAACCAAAAAAACCACACTAAACCAAAAAACAAAACCCAAGAAACCCCCACAGAACAGTCAAGCAAATTTTTTGCCAATCTTATTTAAAAAAATCCATCCTTCTCAAAACTTGTAACTTTCCATGTGTTGTGGTTTAGCCCCTGTTGGCAACTAGGGGCTAACAGCCAAACAGCCGCTTGCTCACCCTCCCTCCCCGCCCCCCGGTGGGATCAGGGAGAGAATCAGAGGGGCAAAAGTAAGAAAACTTGTGGGTTGAGATAAGAACAGTTTAATTAATGAAATAAAATAATAGTAACAAAAATTGTAATGAAAAGGAGAACAACAAGAGAGAGAGAAACAAAACCCAGGGAAAACAAGTGACGCAGCTGCTCACCACCTACTGACCAACTCCCAACCAGTCCCTGAGCAGCAATCGCTGCCCCCCGGCCAACTTGCCCCAATTTATGTACTAAGCATGACGTCATATGGTATGGAACAGCCCTCTGGTCAGTTTGGATCAACTGTCTTGGCTGTGCCCCCTCCCAGCTTCTTGTGCACTTGGCAGAGCATGGGAAGCTGAAAAGTCCTTGACTAGCATAAGCAGTACTTAGCAACAACTAAACCATCAGTGTGTTATCAGCATTCTTCTCCTACTAAATCCAAAACACAGCACTATGCCAGCTACTAGGAAGAAAATTAACTCTGTCCCAGCTGAAACCAGGACACCATGATAAGTAGGTAGTACTAGCTTTCTGTGTTAATAGTGTGCTTGCTTACTGAATAAATCAAAATGAGGAGGAGATTCGCCAGTCATACTTTTTCTGTGATTCTTAATAGTCCAAAGCAGGGGCGATCCTTAGAAACCAATTTTTTTGAACTGTGGAAGTTTCTGCAGGCTGAAAATGAACTGTTGAATATACGACATAGTTTCATCAGAGTAGAGTTTTCCAGATGGGAAGGTGCAATCCAGAAAAGAACCAATGTTTGTTAAAGCATGATGTTGATATGTCTTCAAGTTGGGGTGATGTTTGGCTGAGATAAATGGTTTATTTTATTATACAGCAAGGAGGTACAGGTGAGGTGTTTAAAGATTCTTTCTGACTAAGCTCTATCATGGAGGCTGAACTTGCTTATTTTACTTTGTATTCCAAGACCCTTAGTATCTGAGTGCTACAGAAATCAGCACTGGTTATTTCTGACTTTGTTTTTGAGATAGCGACTGGTATTGTCCATTTAAACGGCTTTGCAGTTTTTCAGTACAATATTAGTGTTCTAACATTTCTTGGAAGTCACAGAGGGAGAACTTGTTCCTGCACGTCAATAAATCAAAGTGCTGCTGGTAGGTAATAGCAATGTCTGAGTTCAGACAAGCTCAAGCTTTGATGTCCCCTTCTTCCCCTAGATTATGATGAGTGTATTTGGATTTAGATGTAAACCCTTCTGAGCTGCTGAGAAACATCATATAGTTTAAGAATGGGAAGTGTCCCAAGTATTATTTACTTTTGATGACTTTTCAAACATGAGGCGGTATGACATGGGGATGTGACCAAAGTGTTTTTCTTAATTATGCAAGGTACCCTCTTGCTCTCACCCTACTTAGCCAGAGTTTTGTTTCATTGTATAGGTATTTTGTGCCCGTTTTAGGAAGCTGGGGGGAAATAATGCCAATAAAGGAGCATCCCTCCTCAAGAAGGCACCATTAACTATGGAATTGTTGTGTTTTCTTTTTCTAGCCTAAAAGAATTCCTGCCTAAAGAATATACCAAACAAAGAGGGGCTGAAAAGAGAATATTTCAGGTAATTGTGAGGCTGAAAAACCTCCTATAGTTTCACTTCCTTTATAAGAAAAATACAAGCTTTCACAGGTGTATATTCTGTATATACTTGAATTATATAACTATCAGAAAATCAAGTGTAAAGAATCTGACAGCTTTTCTTTTCTTTCTTCAGCAGATTTATTGTCCTGATCCTTTTTTCTTCACTGATGATTATTCAGTGTACTTTGTTGAAGGGGAGAGAGTGAATATTCAATATTCTTAAGACCTTTTTCTCAGTTGCATTGAAATGTAAGGATGTGTATTTGTACTAAAATAGAAGCACACTTAGGAAAACCAGTTTTGATTTCATGTCTTCATTATCCAAGCACAAGCATCAAGTAATATGGAGTTCTGCTAGCTAATGCTTGAGTTCAGTGATGTATCTGGCAGTCACAGTTGTAAAAGACTGAAGCAGATGAGTTTAAAATGTACTGATACTGTTGGAAATGGTCTCAGAGTTTGAGTACTGTAGACGCACTAGATATCTGTACCTACTGAAATACAAGTTTGGCAATACAATGTAAGTTGAAAAATTCTGATGTCAACAGCTGAAATCAAGTCATATGGTTTCTGGAAGGATATACTAGTGATCTGTGATCTCAACTTGGGAGACAAGTTGACAAGCAGGAGCAGGTCACATACTTTCCTATGCTTGTTATACTCCCAGCCTAGGAATTCTGTAACTCAGTAAGTCTGTTCTACCTGGAGTTTGTAGTACTTCCTTGTAGATAAGGGTTTCTAATGCTTTTCTGTATACCTTTAGCTGGTGGCAGTGATGTTGCAGTTTAAGCAAAAAAAGATTCATTCACTTCTGAGTATCACTGTCATGTTATTCATAGCATGTGATTTTTGCCCATGTCAAATATGATCTATGAGTAGTTTCAATCATTACATGCTTCAGTGCATTGACAGGAAGTTCATCAGTGAGGGCACCGATGCTGGGCAAAGATACAACAGCAAGGTAGAATAAGCAAGCTGTCTTTTTGAAAAAATCAGCTGTTTCCCCGAGTTGTAAAATTCTTGAGTTTGGCAGGTGATTTTTGCCAAATATTCCGTCTACAATGACTACTTTTGGGATCCTTGCTCTTTTGGGATCCTGGTTATGTTCTCTGTGCTGAGCTTGACAGATACGATCAGTCTATGTCCTTAGGATGCAAAAGGGTTTTTGGAGTTGCAGTTGATCCTCCCAGTGCTCCTCCATGGAACATTGTCAAGATGGTAACTTAAACTGGAGTGGGAAAGCATTTCCCATGTTCTCGGTGCCCACCCTGCTGCCATCAGTCAGCATGGAAGAGGTGGCAACCAGCAGTTCAGAAGAATATGAGGGGAAGATGGGGTGTGATAGGAAATCCCACAAACAGTATTTAAATAGCAGGGCATTGGGATAGGATTTTTAGCAGAACGGTCTGGGGTAGGAGAGCAGATGCTCAGATGAAGTTTGAATAGGTAATATTGGCAGTTGTCAGTATTTATAGGTAATAAGGTTTACTAATGAGTAAATTGTTTAAATAATAAATAGAAATTGAGTTACAAGGCACACCTAGATGAGTGTTTCAGGGGGAACTATTTCGAAAAATCATTGCTTCTTCCTCACCTGTAGAATTCTTTTCATGTGATGAAAAAATTGTGGATAACGGTGCAACTGGCAAAAAAAGCCCATTGGAAATACCTACAAGAGATGAGAAATGGTCAATTACAAGGCGTGAGGTTCTCATGAATCAGAAGTTCTGGGCACAAAACAGGAATAAATAGTCTGTTCCTGGGAAAAAATATGGGTGCTCGACTTTTAAATGATTTTAGAAAACCAAGTGAAGAGGCATCAATTGTATGAAATCTAACGGTATCAAATAGTAGCAATACCTATAATTATAAACTGTTTCAGAAGTGATTTAAATGTGCTTGATCTGAGGCACAGATAGAATGGATGATGGTGAAAGAGGAGTGTTCCATTTGCACAGGTCATTTATGTTCTCCGATGTGAGCAGTTATGGCGTACAGTCTTGCTAACATTTCTAGCCAGTATTTTTTGCAAATATTCTAATTGTAATGATTGCATTAAGCATTCTTAAACGGATATAAGCTATATCCTTCTTTTATTTGTTTCCAGAAAGCATTGTTTCTGCCTAGGCGATAATAAACTCTCATTACAGGAGCACAAAAACTGTGGTGAGATGACTGAAATAGAAGCCAAAGTGAAGTATGTGAAGCTAGCCCGTTCCCTGCGGACCTATGGAGTGTCATTTTTTCTTGTTAAGGTAATGTAGATCTTGCTGACCATATTGTATGGCTGGTTATATGTTACCTCAGATTCTGCATGAAGCAAAGGTCAAAGATGTTCTTTCAGCTTTCTTTCTGAAAACAGCATTTGGAAAAAAGTGTAAATTACTGTGTGGGACAGAATTATAATTTCACTTTAGATCCTTGTCATACTCCTTCCAGAAAGTAAGTTGAGTCTGTCATGATTTAATTTCTTTGAATTGACATTTCTTCTCTTTTCTTTTGATTACCAACAAAGTACTGTCTTCAGAAAAACATTCCCAAAGAACTCATAAGTTGTTCCTGTTTAGAAGTTTAATGATAATATGAATTACATGCTGAAAAACTGCATCTGAAGAACAACTTCATCAGCTGCATGATTAATTTCTCTTAATCCTTACAGTAAAACAGGTCATGGTCTTAAGGCTAGTACCAAGATACTGATGTTCTGATGTGAAAACAGGACTGCAGCATTAGTACCCAAGTATTCAGTAACCACTGACATAGAATTGAAAGGAGGCTAAATTTAGGCAAATGTTTTCATTCTTAGGTTCCCATAGTTACAGTACAGAATCTTTGTAGGTAGCTGAATATCGATAGGTTGTCTTTTCCTAAAGTACTTAGACATCCACAAATTCTAGTGAAGCAGATAGAAGGTGAAAATACAATGCAAAATGTGCAGAGGATAACACCATTAATATGCTTTGAAAGAATTACATTGTCTTGCTTCCTTTAAGGGAAAATGTCTTGTTAAGCACCACTAATGATGAAAGGGGTCTCAACTCTAACACAGCTGTTGAGCTAAGTTATGTATTAGAAACTATGCTAAAGTTACAATGTGCAGTTTTCAGTAACTAAAATATTAAAACTAACAAGCATGCACGTTTAGAACAAGCTGCTAATTCAGTGGGGATTTGTTAACACAATGTAGCTGACCTGTATGGTAAAAGGTAAAAATATCTTTGTATTTTTCATTAATATCTTGCTTTCCTTTGTCATAGCTTAAAGCAAACAGTAACTGAACCAAGTAACCATGTCATGAAACTTCCGTTGGAAGGAATAATTGGTCTTTTTAAAAGTCTATCAAATGATCTACTCTGTAAATAGGAATTGATTCTTTGAGGCCTACATAAATTCAGGGGAATGGGACATGTGGATTTATTTCTATTTTATGATGGATTTTATGTAGCAAATTGTTAACTTGGGCCTATGCTCCGCAACCTTGGAAAACTAGAGAGGCAGAATGTCCAAGAAATAAGGAGACATGAGCTGGCAGCCCCTTGTGATGTTTTGCATGGGTTAGGATGGTCTCAGAGATTGAAAATAACTAAAATTTCAAATTCAAAATATGGGACAAATTATGGCTGATCTTGCCTAATTGTCAGACCCCGTGGGCCTTCTTTTCTTTTCTCTCTCCAGAAATGTTATAGAAAAATGGTGAGGGCAACCTAACTTCTCAGCCCTCCTGATGCCCGTTTCCAACATTCAGCTTCTGTAATATGGTTTTACAGAGGAAGTCTTGTGTCTAGAAGGACTGCCATCATGGTTTTTTTTAAAGTAACTTCCAAGATCTGTTATCATAATCCCTAAAATGCTTCTGTTTCCTGGGGAAGGGAGAAGAGGGAGTATCTTTTGAACTGCATAATAAAGATCCAGTAAAGACTAGAGCTTCTTAATGCATTGCTTGAAAATCACTGTCTGTGACCAGAGAAACTGAGCCTGGAGTTTTAAATTGTCCTTGTCTGCATGCCAGTTGCTTCCCTTTGTCAGTATATTCCATCATGCTTTTCTTTTCTCCTATGGCAAGCTCCATCTGAATGAAAAACAATCTTTCACACCTTGTTACAGGAAAAAATGAAAGGCAAAAACAAGCTGGTTCCTCGTTTGCTGGGTGTCACCAAAGACTCAGTGATGCGTGTGGATGAGAAGACCAAGGAAGTGTTGCAGGAATGGCCACTGACAACTGTGAAACGCTGGGCTGCCTCACCTAAAAGCTTCACACTGGTAGTCTTTTTGTATATATTCAGAAGAGGGATCTAAGTGACAAGGAGAAAGGAAGATGGACTTAGAACAGTTGCTTTAATGTAACTTCTTCTCTCTGTAATTTTCTAGCATTATATAGTCACTGAGTCTTAAACTAATAAACTGGCCCATATTGGTGTCTTGGGTCAATCTGTATTCTGATGTTTCCAGACAGACCATTTCCCGAAGAGTGCTGTTTAAATATTTTCAAAAAAAACACTGTTTAAATCTGTTCTGTGCCTAACTACTAAAACAGTTAAGAAAACATCATTATTCGCACCTGCTTAAACCCTTATGGTGTTTGCCATCCATAATCCACTTTGTGACTTGCAAGATATGAACATAAACAAAGCTAGATGGTTCTTTAATACATTTTATAATTATGGATTTCAAGAACTTTCATGAATGTAATATTTTCGTTAATTATTTGGTCCATAAGAGACCACTGCAACAAGAATATTTCAGATATGAAAAGTTGTTTAAAGTGGTAGAGCAAGAGGCAGTGGCTAGAAAATTATATTCACTTTAATCATGTGCATCTAATTTCCAATTGCATGGGTGATTATGCTTTAGGAGAAAATTCTTCAGTGACTGAGTCTGATGAAGTCAGACTAAGTATTTCGTGGTCCTCTGGCATTTCAATTTATGAAACATCTGTGATTAGGCTGCAATAAAAAGCATCCTTCCCCTTTCCTCCCTCACCTCCCATATAGACTGGTTTAGAATCTTGGAGCAGTTTCATTTACTGTTGGATATAATAAAATGTCTATACAAACAATTTTAAAGTTTGAATTCGCTCACTCATATTTAGTACTGTTTCTTCATTTATTACTTTCCATTTTCAAAAACGTTTTTTTTTTTCCCTTTAGGATTTTGGTGAATATCAGGAAAGCTATTACTCAGTACAGACCACTGAAGGAGAACAGATCTCTCAATTAATTGCAGGTTACATTGATATCATCCTAAAGAAGGTATAGTATTAAGATGACATGTAGTAAAAATGCAGTAAAAATCACTGTACAGCAGTGTAAAAGCTCAAACGTGTGCAAGCTGCAGTTTTCTTTCTCTCATAAAGTCAGTGTTGTATCTTATGTTTTTATGTTATTTATTTTTACCTTTAAGTAATATAAGCTCTTTCTGTTTAACTTAAGTGAGAGCTTCTGGAAAATATCAAGGCTGTTAACTATAGGGGGGGTATGGGTCAGGCTCAGTACAGCACACTTGGGCTTTGTTTTTTCTGTCTGGAAGGTGAACTGCTGGCTAAGAGTGTGTATCCAGAGAAAAGCTTAGAGCTTCAACTATGGATTTTAAGCTATGGACCAAAGCGGTGAATCAGGTGGGAAGAAATGATCCCATGGAAGCAGCATTTAAAACTACATTAAGGACTACACAATGGTTGTCCAGCAGCTCTTGTGTGTCATGCATCAAAGCTGAGAAAGATTTTTGGCAAAATTAAGAAAGAATATAAAGAAATCATTATATTGCTTTAAAAATATTGTGATCAGTTAAGCAAAGAATTACATCTCATTTATGCAGAGAGAGGGATAAAATCTGTGTTTGTGAAGAGGCCAGACTGTCTTGAAACTTGGTTTTGTGGAGCATGCCTGGCAGGAGAGAGGAGAGGCTGATACACATCTCCAGCATTCAAAATATTCACAAGCAAATAAGCACAACAGCAAAAAATACTAGTATTGCCAGCAAACGTGGAGCTGAATGGTCATACTCTAAGCAATGTTGTATAGAAAAGTGAGGTGTTTCAAATAGCGCTGGTTGCTCCTTGACAAGTTTTTACTTTCTTAAAGTTCAACCAAACTACATCATTATTTGCTGTAATAGATTTTAATAGTAAAAAAATGACAGAAAACTAAGCAGCTCAGGAGAATTTATTGCCTTTGTTCATGCGAACAGTGTAGGCTGTAACATCAAATGTTATGAAATCAGAGGTTGAGGAGGATTACCAGAATTCATCACAGTACATGCCTTTTTCTCTGAGGCTGTCAGTCTCAGATTTAATAAATCTTAAATAAACTGGAGGTTTCTATAGATGGTTTAAAACTTGGTTCTAGCTCTTAAGCTTCAAAAGTAGCTTTGCTCTCTAATGCCAAATGAAAGCATCCTTTCTGTCTTGATAGAATACACATGGGTGTATTTCCACTCCCTTCCAGTCCTTTGATTTCTTCTTTACAATCTGCTGACACAGCCAGTTTTAAAATGAATGAATTAGGAACATGTTAAGTAATAGACACCCATGATGCTTCATGATGTGTATGAGAAGCATGCAGTTTTCAATTGCCACGCCCAAGTTCTCTGTGATGCATGCCTCAAAGTATGGTTTATCGCTCTCAGTAGCATAATGTTAATTCTTGGTGTGTTTTGGACTGTTCCAACTTACTTGCTGTGATGTGGATTGGTGGCGCATTTTCTTTTCTGCTAAAGTTTTATTGGTTCAGCGCTCCCCACCCGCCAACCCCTCTTTTCCTGCAATTTTAGTGATAGGTCACTAACCAGTTGACAGGGAGCCCTGAACTTGATTAACTTTTACCACTTTTTAATCTAGATGTATTGTCTTACTTCACATTAATATGGAAGTAAGGCACAATCTTGACTAGAAATAGGTGGTTTCAGTTCACGCATAAACTCAAACTATAGTAGTAA